AGTTTGAAGACAAAGTTAAAGAAATCACACTTCCCAATTTCAAGACATATCACAAAGTTACAGTAATCAAAACAGTGTGGTACGTGCATAAAGACAGACATATAGACCAGTGAAACAGAATAAAATCCAAAATATAAATAAATAAATAAGCTCTCACATATACAGTCAAATGATCTTGAACAAAAGCGTCAAGATCACTCCATGGGAAAAGCACAGTGTCATCAATAAATGGTATTAGGAAAACTAGATAATAACATGCAAAAGAATAAAGCTAGACCCTTATCTTATACCATATAAAAAAATCAGCAGGAAAAAAAAAAAGAATTACAGACCTAAACATAAGACCTCCACACTACAAAATTTCTCAAAGAAAACATACGGAAAAAGCTTCATAACACTGCATTTGGCAAGTAATAGTTTCCTGAGTATGACTCCAAAAGTCCAGGCAACAAAAACAAAAACAGACAAATGAGTCAACCTCAAACCAAAGTTTGTTCATCAAAAGATACAATCAAGAAAAGTGAAAGGCAACCTAAGAATGGGAGAAAATTTTTGCAGATTACATATCTGATAGGAGGTTAATATTCAGAATATACAAAAGGAATTTCTACACAGTGACAGAAAGTCAAATAATCCAATTAAAAACTGGACAAAGGACTTGAATAGACATTTCTCCAAAGACAATATACAAACAGAAAACAAAAGTACAGGAGACGTTCAACATCACTAATCATCAAAGAAATGCAAATCAAAACCACAATGAGATATCACCTTACGCCCATTAGGATGGCTACTCTCAACAACAACAAAAAACACCAAAAATCCAAAGAACAGAAAATAGCAAGTGTTGGTGGGGATATGGAAAAGTTAGAACTTTTGTGCACTACTGGTGGGATTATAATATAAAATGGTCCAACCACTGTGAAAAAGTTTGGCAGTTCCTCAATTAATTAAAAACAGAATTAGCATATGATATGCAGCAATTCCACTTTTATGTATGTATCCTAAAGAACTGAAAACAGTACCTTGAAGGGATATTGCAAACCCATGTTCATGCAGCACTATTCACAACAGCCAAGAGGTAGAAGCAACCCAATGTTCATCATGGATGAGTAGAAAAGCAAAATGTGATATACACGTACAATAGAAGCCCCTCAAAATTCATACATTAGGTCTGTAGAGCCCTCTTGGATGAGATTACAACTCCATTAACCCCTTCACTACAAGAGGATACTATAGTAAGTTGGCAATCTGCAACTCAGAAGAGGGCCTTCACCAGAACCCAACCCCAGTGTAACCCTGATCTTCCAACCTCCAAAACTCTGGGAAATAAATTTCTGTTGTTTGTCAGCTACCCAGTCTGTTGTATTTTGTTACAGCAGTCTTAATGGATAAAGACATACATGGCGGATGAACCGTGAGGACACTGTGCTCTGTCCTCTGACATAACAGAAAGGACCCATACTGTATGATTTCACTTCCGGGAGGTCTCTAAGGTGGTCGAATTCAATAGATATATAAAGTAGAACGATGGTTACCAGGGGCTATGGGAGGGAACAAACAGGTGTATTTAATGGGTATAAGAATCTCAGTTCTGCCAGATGAAAAATCCTGGGGACCTGTTTTATAGCATTGTGAATATACATAATATTATTCAACTGTATGCTTAAAAGGGGTTAAGACAGTAAATTTGGGGGTCTTCCTGGCGGTCCAGTGGTGAACACTTTGTGCATCCACTGCAGGAGGTGAAGGTTCAGTCCCTGGTTGGGGAACTAAAATCCCACATGCCAAGGGGAGCAACCAAAAAAAAAAAGTAAATTTAATGATAAATATTTTTAAGAAAAAAAAATATATAAAGAAATCCCAATCTTTTATTGTTTTTTATTTTCTTCCTTCTAAATAGGAAGGGAGAAAAGAAATGGGAGGAAATGTTTTCATTTTGTGCAGATGTGTGCATTTTCATTTCTGGTGCATTCCACACATGCCAGTTCCACAGACGGAGAACAGAATTTAAACCTGAACATGAGGATCTGAGATTTCTAAAATGAGAAAAGCCTACATGTCGGGATGTTGACCTTTAGGATTTCATTTCCAGAGACGAATCCTGCTCCTGGTAGGACATTTCATGGAAATAGCAAGAGCAACCGATCTGGGTTAATAAGTGCTCTTGTCCACAAACAACTGAAATAGACACTGGCAACTTAAAAGGAAAGAAATGTACAAAGGTATGGGGGGAACTCACAGAATCCATATTAGGGCTGGAGATCCAGTTTAGAAAAAAAGAGGAATTTCCATGTCTGGGAAGCCAACAACACATCCAGGCCACACCCCGGGATCAGCTTCCTTAAGACGCCAAACATACAGTGTCCAGCCACCAGCCTACACCTGGCCCCATCACTCCCTGGAACTCACTGAGCCACCTCCAACTGCTGCTATTTCTGCATCATTTCCTTGATGTCCAAATCCAGGGTGCTTTCATTTGGTGGGAAATCTCCAATGCTAAAGGCAGGATTTTCAAAAGCTCAAGGAGAGAGAGGGCAATTGTCCACACTGGTGAGCAAACAGCTTAGCAGCTATGAATGCCTCACAGGCCTAGCCCGTCCAGTTTAAAACAAAGTAGTAAAATTTCCAGCCAGTTCAGGAACAAGGAGAATCTTGGTGCTTACTGGATCCTGTCATTTCCAATACAGCAGGTTTCCACAGGTTATCCACCCAGATAAGACCACTCATAAACTGTCCCCAGGCAAAGAAAGGGGCACAGAAGCAGGTGGTTTGAATGAAGCCATGGTTCACTGCCCTCCGATTCTTTTGTTTTCGTCAAAGCTGAATTTACTGGACCTTGATAAAAGCAGACACTGTCTTCAAAACTGCTGCCAGAACTGACTATAAAGACAGAATGCACACACAACATTGCTGTCACCACCACTGTGGGAATGACTCTGCTCAAGCAGAGAAGATGCCATTCATCTGGCACAGTTAATAAATATGGAAGCTTCTAGCCAGCTGCCAGCCTACCTGAAAAAAATTCCATAGACTCCACAGGGTAAAGGTATACAGAGATTTAGAAAGTCATAAAGAAGTGAAGATAAAGAAAAGGAATTAACTTTATTTCACATCCCATTCCTTTTTATTCTTTAAACACATTCCTCTACTCAAAAGGGCCCTGAAGACTTTGGCTTTTATGGTGACAAACCAAAGATGTCTCTACCTCCCTCCTCTTATTAGGGCTATGAAACAACAAGGATTAAAAACAGCTCCACTTTTAAAATAAAACTAGGAGATGCCGATAGTCCTGAACCACATAAGGAGCAAGTGGGTAGAGAAATGCAGAGACAAGTCGAGAGCAGAGGATGGTCACACTTCAGGGTCTGAAGAGGCAACATCAACAAGAAGTACGCTGCATTATTATATAAGAATAAAGGTTACTATTTTTGTGGATTTTTTTGTGCCATGATCACATATTTTATTAGGGAAAGTATATGGTAACCAAGGGTGTATCCCACTCACGATTATAGAGTCTAGAAAATGGATCAGTACTTTTGTGCCTGCAGACCACAATGAGAGAAGTTGAAAATCTGTAAACTGTACAATTCAAAATAAAACTGCTAGGACTTCCCTGGTAATGCAGTGGCTAAGACTCATACTCTGATGCAGGGGACGCAGGTTTGATCCTTGGTCAGGGAACTAGATCCCACATACATGCCACAAGTAAGAGTTTCCACATGCCACACATACCACAACGAAGATGGAAGATCTCGAATGTGGCAACTAAGACCCAGTGCAGCCAAATTAATAAGTAAATATTAAAAAATAAAAGAAAGCTATTAGTTAACCAGTGCAAGAAAACTTAAAACAAAAATCCAGTGGTTTTGTTGAATTCTGTTCCTCAGATTCTGCAGCTGTTAAAATGCCTTTATTCTGGTCTTGTAATTGAGTGGTAATTTGGCTGGGTATAGAATTTTAGGAGTACTTTAGAAACAATCACAAATATCCTGGGAAGTAAAATAGACACTATCATCCTTTGTGTAAAGATGAGAAAATTGAGGTATAAAGAGATGTGACTTTCAAAGGCGTCAAGCCAACACAAAGCGGTTCTAGAACTTAAATCAGTGTCTAGCACCAGGTTCAATTCTCTCTTCATGACATGCAAAGATGCTGGGCACAATCTTTATGGCTTTATGTTTCAACATTTCATTCTCTCTCATGTTCATGGACACCCGTTTCCTTTTGAACCACCAAAAGCACTGTTACCCTGTTTCTCCATTCTAGTGACAACCCAGTTCTTTATTTCACCGTAAGTACCTCCACACTGTAGCCCCTCCTCCTTCTCCAGGCCATCCTTAAAGAAGTGCAATGCAGGTCTCAAAATAAACACTGACTTACATACTTAGAGCTCTGGCAGAAAGCAAATCCTAACTACTCATTAGAGAGATTTCTCAAAATAAATTTTTAACCTAAGGAATAAGAAGGAAAATAAACAATTAGTTGAAAATGCCTTCACTTTCTCAGTGCCACATACAGCAAGAAGGCATCTGATATAGCTGTTCATAATGACCCAGAAGAGCCAGCATGCTCTTGGGGTCACAAAAGTCGGACATGACTTAGCAACTGAACCACCACCACCAATGATCCATCTGGTTCATGATCATCAAAAAGCAAAACGCTGATTTATAATCAGGTATTAGCAGTTTTAGAGAAATAAATATTTAAGAACATACCCTTTTCATTCTGTCCCCAAAAATGTATGAATCAAAAAATATGCTTTAAAATGTAGAACACAATAAACACGCATATACACCAGCTTCTCTCCCCATCCCCTTGTCTCAAAGCAAACAGGAAGACATAGTCTGTGACCTTGGACTCACACGCCCACTTAACTTCACTCTCTCTTAGATTTGTGGACCTGAATAGGTACTAGGTGAGGAGGTCACAGTCTGCACTGAAAAACCCCAACTGCACCCCAGGCAAAGAAATGATGTGGTAACAATCTAGCTACTTACTCCACAGTATTGGTCATCATTAAATATCTGAGGTGGCAGAGGGTTGCCCTGAGCAGGCTTCTTCTCCGGGGGGATGTTCTTATACATCCATTGTCTCTGCTCTTCTGACATTGTGATGTCCACCTCCTCAAACTCTATCTTGTTGGCTTCCAGAAATCTAACCACATCCTGCTGTTTCTTCTTTATCTGCAGAGAGAAGACAAATACATGAGGAGAAACGCTTCTCTGAAACCATATGCACAAGTTTCCCATGTGAACTAGATTTGATTGCTCCTTGTCAAAGGCCACTGAGCCACCCCTCCCCAAAAAAGAGTTGATTTTTGCAGACGCCACACACCACCACTCCCTGGTTATCAAGAGGATGGCTAAGCAAGCCCTGACACAGTGATTTGTACACAGAATTCTGGGGCACATCTCAGACGGTCTGGGGGGGACAGACTAGGTCTGAGGTGGGAGATTCACTAGCTTTCTGGGAGCCATAACCACTCCCCTCCCGCCCCTCGAAGTTGACAGGCACAGTCACAAAGACCCCCTGTGCCCCCAACCATTTGAAAACCGCATATAGCCCATCTGAGATGCTGACACTTCACTGATTCCTGGGAGTGGCCACACTTCTATTCCCCTCAGCGGCCTCTTTCGGATATTCCACAGCCGTAGCCACTGTCATGAACGCGTCCTTTCACCACCTCACAGGCGGACGGTGTCCTCCACTTCCACGGTGAGTCAGCACCAAGGAGCTCCTCACTGTGAACCCCCTTTCTTAACCCTCCTTGTTTCTCTGACCTTTATGACCTTCCCGTCACTAGGGGTCAGGTATGCCCTTGAAGGGCTGCCAACACCTGTGCAGGTTTTCCAACTGTTACAAATTTTGTCATTTAAGGTATGTATTAACAGACTAAGACGGGGTGACAATATTCAGTATCTCCAACACAGCATATAAGACATGAGCAATTCCAGTATACTAACACATATATATGGAATTTAGAAAGATGGTAACGATAACCCTATATGCAAAACAGAAAAAGAGACTCAGATGTATAGAATAGACTTGTGGACTCTGGGAGAAGGCGAGGGTGGGATGTTTCAAGAGAACAGCATGGAAACATGTATATTATCTAGGGTGAAACAGATCACCAGCCCAGGTTGGATGCATGAGACAAGTGCTCGGGCCTGGTGCACTGGGAAGACCCAGAGGGATCGGGTGGAGAGGGAGGTGGGAGTGGGGACCGGGATGGGGAATACATGTAAATCCATGGCTAATTCATTTCAATGTATAACAAAAACTACTGTAATGATGTAAAGTAATTAGCCTCCAACTAATAAAAAAAAAAAAAAAACCAGAAACAACAGATTTTGGTTCAATTAAAAATTCATTAAAATGCAAAAAAAAAAAAAAAGAAATCAAAGGCTGACAAAATATGACATCTTTAAGCTCAATATTATAAAAGGAGAGAATTACCATGTGGTTGTAAATCCAAGTTGAAAATGCCATTATCTCAATTTCTTGAATTAAGCCATTCTCAAGTCTGAAAAAGTTAACTTTTCCTTCTCACTTATACTATTTCAGAATATATGTTACTTTGTAACTCCGTTATCAGCCATCCTACTTAATTTTCCCTTACAACCCTACCAGGTAGAGTTCATCATCCCTGAGCTTCAAAGTGTTCACCTATTTTGATCAAAGTCCTAGTGGTTGTTTTTCTCAAGACAATCATGTCATTGTCCTAAAATCCTTGTTCAGTGGACCCCCACTGATCTTTGTAGAACAAACAAAAAGTTACCTACAATTCTACTATCCAACAGCCACTACCAAAATCTAAACAGAGAAAAGGGTCTGGATTTAACGTCCCTGTTTGGAGCTCTACGTACCCAGCACATTTCAATCACTCCTGCTGCTGCTGCGTCACTTCAGTCGTGTCCGACTCTGTGTGACCCTATAGATGGCAGCCCACCAGGCTCCCCCGTCCCTAGAATTCTTGGGGCAAGAACACTGGAGTGGGTTGCCATATCCTTCTCCAATGCATGAAAGTGAAAAGTGAAAGTGAAGTCGCTCAGTCAGGTCCGACTCTTCGCGAACCCATGGACTGCAGCCTACCAGGCTCCCCCATCCATGGGATTTTCCAGGCAAGAGTACTGGAGTGGGTCGCCACTGCCTCCTCTGTCAATCACTCATAAGTGTGATCAAAAATGAAACTTATCTTGGTTTTCCATATATATGATACAGGCTTCCCTGGTGGCTCGGACGGTAAAGAAACTGTCTGCAATGCAGGAGACCTGGGTTTGATTCCTGGCTCGGGAAAATCCTCTGGAGAAGAAAACGGCGACCCACTCCAGTATTCTCACCTGGAGAATCCCATGGACAGAGAAGCCTGGCAGGCTACAGTCCATGGGATCACAAGAGTCAGACATGATTTAGCAACTAAGCCACACCACCTCAATACTATTTTAGGACAAAGCCCTATGGATTAAAGCCAGGTGAAAGGGCAAAGACATTTTTCAGAAGGACTCAAGCTAAAAATGTCTTTCAAAACAGCCACCTCAATTTACATTCTTCAAATTACATTCTTCAATTTACATTAGCAATGTCTAGGAGTGTCCATGTCTCAACATCCCTCTTCCTTAAAACCAGGATCTGCAAGCTGTATTGAGGAATATTAAAATTCAGATGGCATGGGGTGATGGATGCTAACTAAACTTATTGTGGTGATCAACTCACAGTGTATACATACATCAAACCATTATGCTATACACCTTAAGCTTATACAGTGTGGTATGTCAATTATACCTTAATAGAACTGGTGGGAAAATGGTCATTACTCTAAGAAGAAAATTCAGATGCATCATTATACCCTATCAACCTTCAGGAAGCAAAGGACAGGTCATTACTCACACTGGCAATGGCTGATGGTAGCATCAGGAGCCAACTGCAATTATATCTGTATTTTAAGAGAAAATCAGGAGAGGCATGACCAGGTTAATGTGCAAAGAGACCACTTTAATACTATGCATCTTAGAAAGAAATAAGGAGGGACTTTCCTGGCGGTCTAGTGGTTAAGACTCCATGCTCCCAATGCAGGGGGCATGGGTTCTATTCCTTGTTAGGGAATTAAGATCCTGCATGCCATATGGTGCCACCAAAAAACAAAATAAAACACCTGAATACTTTCTAAACCATTTTTTAATCAATAAAAAAAGAAAAGAGAAATTCTGTATGTACTGTTGACACTGCTATGAAAAGTTTCCCAAGATTTATAAGTGAAAAAAAAAAATAAAAGCAGATTTGTGTGTACACTAAGCACTTTTTTAAAAAATAGAAAAAAAAAAAAGGAACATATCTATATTTACTTGTATTTTCATTTCTTAGAAAAATGGCTGAAGGTTATATAAGAAACGAACAAAAGTGGTGACCCAGGGAGCAGGGCATGAAGGAGGGGGAGACTGAGAGCAAGAGTTCGCCCTCCATGGATGTACATTTCTTTGAAAAATGTGAATGCATCTATATTCACAAGATTAAATACAAGAAATTAATTTGAGAGCGAAAGAATGTCCCATAGAAAACAACCTGGAGGGGGATGGTAGTCTGGGTTCATAGAGAACTGGGGCATTTTACATAAATCACGCTTCCTAACAGGGTGTGAAGCTGGACTCTGAGAGTTTTGTTGCTTGCTGGCCTCCTTGATTCTTTATATGTATAAGAAAAAGGAGGCAAAAAAAGGGCTTTAAATCCTGGTTTCTTAATTTATTTACTGGGTGAGTTTGAGCCAAGTTACCTCTCTATGCCTCAGTTTTTCCATCTTTAAAATGGGAACAATAGTATTACCTACCTCTTTGGATCACTGTATGGGTTACATTTAAATGATGTGTAGCTTACAATACTGCCTGGCACATAACGTCTAATGTTCCCAATTATTATTGTTGAGTTTGCTATTTGACATCACATAAAAAAAATCATTTAGAATGCAGTATCAGTTTTTAAAAAGTTCACTTTTTTGAGACAAGGTGAATTGAAATCTATTTTGCTTTAACAAAATTTAAAAAAATAAAAAAGAACTAAGGTCACAGAAAATTGATACGACAGCAAATTAACCAAATAAACAAAAGGGAGAGATTTACCCCAGAGAAGGAAGTTTCAAGGGGATGTTTGCTTACAACATTAGCTGCAGGAAGGAAGATGAGTCACGCGGCACTAGGGCTGATTTTGAGATTTATCAGGTGAATGTGGTGGGAACAGTGGGAGGCCAGGGATGAGCGGCAGGGACAGGCAGGACCTGGGAGAGGCTGGGGTACCAGGTAATGGAAAGGCTGTTCCCACAAGGCAAGAGGAAGCCATCAAGGGCACTGTACATACTGGCATAAACCCAGGGTTCAGATAACAATAACACACACCATCACTTCCTTGACAAAGAGCTTTCTTCTTTACTTCAACTGCCCTGGAACAAAATATACCTTACAATTAATATTAAAGGAAACTGGGGAGGAAAACTTGTGAAAGAGAACAAGTAAATTGTGGGGCATCTGTCACTTCCTTCACCCCTGTGTCAATTTAGCCTTGTAGCTGTTTTTGTTTTTTTAACAAAAACACTTACAAGCCATGGCAGATAATGCTAGTTATTTACCCAGTAGCTAATCTCCCATCCTTTCTTAATAACCAAAGACTGATTTTATTTAAGAAAGCAATGTGGAAAAAAAAGAAAGAAAGAAAGCAATGTGCTCAGCTACAAAAACTTGTTGACTCAAACTCCTCCGTAGCTAGGGGCGATCACAGAACACAGTGCTGCCCAGGGAGATGTGAGGTGGCCACTCCTTGGAAAGGCTCCACTTAATGAATGAAAAGACCAAGCCCATTTTGCACCTAGTCATTGGAAGGACTGTTGCTGAAGCAGAAGCTCCAATACTTTGGCCACCTGATGCGAACCAAATCACTGGAAAAGACCCTGATGCTGGGAAAGAGTGAAGGCAAAAGGAGAGGGGGTAGCAGAAGATAAGATGGTTACACAGCATCACTGACTCAGTGGACATGAACATGAGCAAGCCCCGGGAGATGCTGGAGGACGGAGCAGCCTGTAGAGCTACAGTCCATGGGGTTGCAAAGAGTTGGACGACTTAGTGATGAACAACAACAACTTCTTTCTCTCTTGCAGAAATGCACCCGTGGCACCTGGAGGTACAGAAACTATTTGGCAAAT